GAAGAAGAAGAAGAAGAAGAGGAAGAAGAAGAAGAAGAGGAGAAAGAGGAGGAAGAGGAAGAAGAGGAAGAGGAGGAAGAGGAAGAGGAGGAAGAGGAAGAAGAGGAAGAGGAGGAAGAGGAAGAGGAGGAAGAGGAAGAAGAGGAAGAAGAGGAAGAGGAAGAGGAAGAGGAAGAAGAGGAAGAAGAAGGGGAAGAAGAAGAAGAGGAAGAAAAAGAGAAAGAGGAAAACGAGGAGGAGGAAGAAGAAGAAGAAGAAGAAGAAGAAGAAGAAGAAGAAGAAGAGGAGGAGGACGCCGAAGAGGAGGAGGAGGAGGACGGAGAAGAAGAAGAAGAAGAAGAAGAAGAAGAAGAAGAAGGAGGAGGAGGAGGAGGAGGAGGAGGAGGAGGAGGAGGAGGAGGAGGAGAAGGAGAACACGAGTGGGTTTCCCCAACTGCAAAAATATGGAAGAAGAAGAAGAGGAGGAAGAGGAAGAGGAAGAAGAGGAAGAAGAGGAAGAGGAAGAAGAGGAAGAAGAGGAAGAAGAAGAAGAAGAAGAAGAAGAAGAAGCATTATGGGAGAAGTTGGCAGGCACCACCTTTCCCCTGGAACATCAGCTGGGACTGATTCTACGGGGAAAACGCAGGACTGCCCTCCAGATTGGTCAATCATTCAATATAACTAGCTTGTTCAGACACACCAGACTGGCTATCCTCCTAATGACAATATGGGAAATGAGGTGCTCGGCTGAAAGGAAAAAGAGTTTTGCTTTGTCTTCCCCCAGGGCCAAGGTAGAGATCGTCGAGACCATAACGGCCAGCATCACTAAAGCTGTGGGAAAACTAAAGGAACAATTAGTAAATTACCCTCCACACCAGACCAAGCTGCAAGACAGCAGGCTATTAATGACTTCAGGCACCTAAGGTTAGAACCCCAAAGAAAGCTGGGCGACATGTTGGAACACAGCCGACTGATCGGGGAGAACTGGCTAGCTCATGAAAAACAGTGGCGCGGCAGCGGGGGGGTCATATGGGGAGAGCATGACGGGGGAAGAGGGGCTTGGAGGGACAGCGGGAGGAGGAGGGGAAGGGACACTCAGGGGAGGGGACGGCCGTGCTGAGGGCGGGGTCATGGGAAGGGGAGGGAGCACGCCATCTTGCAGTTGGGAGTGTGTCTATGGCAGTGGCGCCCGGAGACCGGCAGACTGCTTCAGCACCCCCCTCCCAGATCACAACCATTTAGCGCTAACAGTGCCACCAAGGTAATCTCCGCAGCACAGAATGGAAACACACTCCCAACAGCAAGATGCCATGCTCCCTCCCCTTCCCATGACCCCGCCCCTGGCACCGTCCTCCCCTCCCCTGACTGTCCCTTCCCTCCCTCCTCCCCCAGTCCCTCCAGGCCCCTCTTCTCCCGCTGTGACTCCCCGGCTGCCGCAGTCCCCCTACCCGATGGATGTAGAGTGCTGGACCAGCAGGTACCAGCAGTGCCATGGCTTCTCCCCTCCCGACGGACCTGGCCCTGACCTTACCCTCTCCTCCCCCAACAGCTCCCCCACCCCTTCTCTCCACGCCCCTCGGAGCCCCACTCCTCCCCTCTTACACCCCCCCTGCGACCTCTCCGCTGGAGCAATCCCCCTACCGGTTGGGGACAGAGCTAGCAGGACCAGCAGGGGAAGCAGCCAGCTACCCGATTGAATGGGAAGGATGGACAGGCTTGCCGCATGAGTAATACAAGGACAACAACAGCCCTCCCGTATCAGGGCCGGGAGGATGGAGCAGGGCAACTGGCACAGGAGGCACTGGCCTAGTACCTTGTACTAGTGACGAGACTGTGATGGCATTCTTACTATTCAAGGTCTACAACAGCCCTTGCGGATCAGGGGGTGATTAGCACAAGAGGCCCTGGCCTGGTGCCTGGTACAAGGGCGAAGAGACAGTGATGGCAGTCTCACTATTTAGAGCTCTCAATAGCCGAAGCCGGGTAATGGGCCAGGTAAAACCATCACAACATTGTCACAGCAATGATTGATGTATCTGGGTCGCTGGACCCGGTTTCGTTTCCAGCAGGTGCAGCTCGCCACCCATAGACCGGAGCAACCAGGGGTAGGCTTACTACAGTCTTCCCCCGAATACAACGCACGGTCATTATAGCTGTATCTAGACAAAAAAGGTGCCTCAAATACAGCTATAATGACCGTGCGGCGTGCATTGTATTTGGGGGAAGACTGTAGCGGGATGATGCTTATACCACTTCCAC